CTCCGACAATGTTGGCAACGATATCAGTCATGGCAGTCAAGCCGTGCTTAGCGAAGGTCGATGTAACGTAGGGCTTCCACGTGAAGTTGGCCTGCTGCTGGAGGGAATTGATGAACGAAATGAGCATGATACTAAAGCACGGTATCAGTGAGTGTCCCAGTTGAAGCAATTGATGGGAAGACAGTGTACTTACGCGGTATAAGCTGCAATCAACCAATTCTTGGTCCAGACGACAGTGACAGCCTCCATCTCAGCGGAGCCCTTGGGCTGCTCCACATCAATGTTGTTAGCGGTGGGGGTGGTCACCATCGATGCTTCGCTGCTGTATCTATTCGTGGTGCTCTGCTTTGCGCTGTCGCCAATGGTATCATCACCAAGGGCGAACTCGCGCTGCTCACCGATGCCCATACCGGCAAGCTTCTCCATCTGCGGCGCGTATCCGCTCGCCATAGTAACTTGAAACCTAGAGCTACAACTGTTAAAGCCTACTGAAGCAGTCGTAGGAGCAAAGGGTGTGGGAGAGATGGAGCAAAAGGTGGAGCAGAGGGGTGAGGTGTTGTGTACCTTTGAGCGTAAAAGCTGTGATTGATGAGACGTGATTGGTGTGTGATGAACTCCACAAGTATTTGAGGAGGTCGTCAAAGAGCGAGTGTGAGGAGGAATGAAAATCGAGGTAGAAAACGATTGCTATATAAGGGCTAGGAACCGAGCGCAGTGGTGATGAAAGTGAAGTAGAAGCGCAGTGGCCAGACCCAATTTAACCCCTCACGGTGAGCGATAAACAGTCCAAGCGGGTGTTACATCGGTTTTGGGCAAACGCTGTGCATGTGAGCGATTGAGGAAGGGGCGGCTGGGACCTACTTGCCTCAGTGAATGAGCATGTCAGGAACAGGTGAGACTACAACAAGGTGGCCCATTCGGAGCAACTACACTCCCATGTACAAGCGGACATTGTCGGGGATTACTATTAGACAAGAGGTTTACCAATATACAGAGCAATTGACATCTACGATAGTCTCTAAATGTGATTGAAGTGTGGTCTTGCTTAGAGAGTTCCGTTGTATAATCTCATCTAACGCACAGTGCATGTCCTTTGGCCACCACTCACTCCAACCACATCTCACATGAAAGAAAGTCCTTGGTAACAAATAACAAGAAATACGAAATTTGGGCACGGCGAACTTGACCGGAATAGCATATCATGTTTCTTCTATTCGGACGCTCGAGTTTAGTCTACTAACACAAACTTCTGCTGTGCGCGTGGCTACCATGTCACAAAGGACCGCCTGCCCAAACCTTTGGAACCCATATCATCGTCACCGGGTAATTTCCGGAAAGGCCCGCTACAACACTGTAAACAAACCCCTTATGATGTTGAATGCGAACGCTCCACTGCTATGCCCCGAGAACCCCAGTACCATCGCCAACGCCGAATCTTCCCTCAGATTCCTTCATAAGACAATTACACTAAGACGTCTGAAGGCTGACTTGCTCTACACCCCTCGATACTTCCTCTTCTGCGGTCTTTACTGCAGGCCCGTCTTGTCCCTTCTCAGCAGCCTCGACAGTCTTGTCACCACCAGCAGCCTTCTTAGCCTTCTTGCGCTCCTTCTCGGCCTTCTTAGCCGCCGCCTTCTTGGCCTTTTCTTCCTTTGCCTTGCGGGCCTCTTCACCTCCGAACTGCTCTCGCCATTCTTGCTCCTTTTCGGGCTTGATTTGACTGAAGAGGTAACCGGCAGTACCGATCTTGTGGCCAACGGGCAGCGAACGTGCCTCCCAATTGTCTGGGATGATAAGGAATTCTGCGTTAAGTTGCGAGAGGATGGCGGTAGTAGTGTCAGGCCTGTCGCACAGTTAGCCATGTGTTCAATAGCGCCAGTTTCATAGTCCTGTGTAGCTGTGTACAAGGGCTCCGTGTCACGCGGAATGACCCTCGCCGATGTGTGTACAATGAATGCTCCGGCTATCGCCGTCCCGACCATGTAAACGACGTAAAAGAGATATTTCACTTACATATATGGTTGAATCAGACTGGCAAGAAGATGGATCTGGCTTAGCGCAAGTCCTACCACAGCAGCGCATCGATCTGGCTGCTCAGAGGCCAACTTGTTGTCTAGGCGATTATCTTGCAGAAGCAAGTTACCCAAGCTTGAGACGTGTAACGCAGTAGCAAGGCCAGCACGAATCTTGACATCTTCCAGCTCTGCAATGTACGTTTTGAGCAAGTCGTTAACCTTCTTCTTGTGCTCGGTAAAGTAGGGATCATCAAACTTGGTGTAATCAGGCACAACCGAATCGTAGATCTTTGCGTTGTTGACGAATTTGATGACGCGATTGATGAAGTTGCCAAGGTTCTTGAGGAGTTCGTTGTTGTTTGCCGCAATGAAGCCGTCCCATTCGAACTCGGTATCTCCAGTTTCCGGGCGGTGGGAGAGGAGGTAGTAGCGCCACACATCCGATGGGATACCCGTCTCCTTAGCATTGTTGCCAAACACACCAATATTTCTTGACTTAGAAAACTTTCCCTTCTCGTAATTCAGATACTCAGTTGTCGAGATAGTGTTGAGCATGGTCCACTTGTCCTTGGTACCAATCTGCGAGCAGGGGAAGACAACGGTATGAAATGGTACGTTGTCCTTGCCCATGAACTGGTAGAGCTTGACTTGTTCAGGGTTATGCCACCACTGCTTCCAGTCCTCTGTGTAGGTTGCTGTAATTGAGACGTAGCCTATACACGCGTCGAACCACACGTACATGACCTTGTCTTCATAGCCCTGATTTGGTCAGTTGATTTCTAGTCAGCTTTTGAAGGATTCGTCGTACCTCAAGAGGCACTGCAGTACCCCACTTCAGGTCTCGCGTGATACCGCGCGGTCGTAGACCTTCTTTGAGCCAGGAGGAAGTAATCTGAACACCATTGGAGCTCCAATTGCCCTCTTTGCTTGCCTTCTTGAACCACTCCTCCTCTAGCGGCTGTAGCTTATCTAGACAGAGATACACGTGCTTGGTCTCGCGCGGAACTGGTGTTGCGCCATCAAGCTTACACCGGGGGTTCTTCAGCTCCAGGGGGTCAAGGAGATGTCCGCACTTGTCGCATTGATCGCCTCGCGCATCATCGTAGCCGCACAGCGGACATGTTCCCTCGACGAATCGATCAGCAAGAAAGCTCTTGTGTGTTTCACAGTAAGGTTGTGTTGTTGTTTGCTCCTCGAGATAGCCATTCTTGTACAGCTTTGTGAAGATGTCTTGTGCGATATCAGTCTGCTGCTGTGTAGGTGTACGTCCGAAGTGATCAAACGAAATGTTGAACCACTTGTAGACCTCGCTATGCAGCGCATAGTACTTATCGCAAAGCTCTTTGGGAGTTACCTTCTCTTCAATCGCCTTGGTCTCTGTAGCCGTTCCATACTCGTCTGTACCGCAAATGTATAGTGTGTTGTATCCTCGTGCGCGCGAGAAACGGGCGAAGACGTCGGCGGAAAGTACGGATCCGACAATGTTGCCCAAATGTGGAACATTGTTTACGTATGGGAGAGCGCTAGTAATGAGCACATTGCGCTCGCCCTCGACGGGCAGAATCTTCTTTGGTGCCTCGGTCATGGGAAGTTGCGTCCTTTGAGGGTGTTAGGGTGATCATGTTTTAGGAAACAGGATGTTGTCTGTTCTTACTACTTTCTCTTTGAATAAAGTATGTATCAGTTGTGGAACCAAATAAACGAGATCAGCACGTGTATATCGGAATGTATGCGTTCACGCCGTGATCTGATAGAGTTTCTGAGTCAAACGCGACAGCCACGGGCTCCGATGTGTGTGGTTGTAGCAGCCCCGCCAGAACCGACCCCGCCGCGCCAACGCCACAAAAATCACCAAACCCTGAATCCGATCTATGCTCGGCGTGGGCCTGAGGGGCAAAGTCCCAAGTACTGCAAATACTATAGTTAGTTATTCTACTAGATTTGTAAGCCCTCGAAGAAAGCAGCTTGGAGGAACAACACAGCCCTGTCTTCGTCTATGATTGAAAACAACATTGCTCCAAGAGACATCATACAAGGATACCAAAATTATTCTTTGAACCATCATCCAATGTCTCAGCAGCCGACGTCTCAAAATCACGTCTCCGACGACCCCTTCGATACCCTCCTGACTCTAGAAGACACTCTCTACACTGCAGCCTACGACCTCGGCGTCTCAGACGGCGCTCACGCCGGTCGTATCGAAGGCCGAATCTTTGGACTCGAAAAAGGGTTTGAGAAGTTTGCCGCTCTTGGCGAGCTGCACGGGAGGAGCGTAGTATGGGGTTCGCGGCTCCCCGGCCTCACCTCTGAGCCGAACACAAGCAATGTTCAAATCACCAAGTCAGAGGACGGAGGAGCAGGGAAGAAGGAGAGCCAAGAGAGAATACCACTGCTTCCAAAGAATGAAAGGCTAAAGAACAATGCCACGCTGCTGCATTCTTTGACGGACCCAGAGACTTTCGACACGGCAAACACTGAAGAAGCAGTTGCTGACTTTGACGATCGGTTCAAGAGGGCTGGAGCCAAGGCAAAAGTCATTGAGCGCATTGTTGGCGAAACCGATACCACTGTGGCGTCGTCAAAGTCACCTGACGGTTCACCCGCCAGAGCAAAGAGCGGGGGACCCGTGCGCATTACAGGACAAGCAAAGAAAGGCGGCGGAAACAAGGGCGATGATAGTATCGAGGACTTTGCTGGGTCGAAGCTGTTGAGGTGAAGTCTTCCAAACACCAACACCCGTGTTACCCAGAACAGTTAGGTTCCACTTTGTATCGGTATCATCCACAGATGCAAGGAGGATTGAGCGGCAGAACAAAACAGTGGGGCCGCATCTCCGAAGCCGCTGCATGGCGCTATCCGGCAAGTCTCACAACATCCATGTACAATGGCCTGATCCGAAGCCGGTAGAGGAAAGAGTATGGGAGTATGGGAAACAAGGTCATCCACACGGAAGCCATTGCGCACACAGTAACAAACAATGGTGAAGACCAGTTGGCTTCGAATTACTTTGCTATCCTAGAAGGAATCTGGGCGACAACCCAGGTCTCAGCCCAACCCACTACACCGTGCTATGACATACGAGATCAGAAAGAAGTTAAAAAGGTCCATCGTAACTAAAAGGATATTGAGAAAGGTGTCAAATCTGAAGTGTGCCGCAAAGCCTGTCGCTCCCTCCCTCCCCATTTTCGTGCTAGATGATGCACTGGTATCAAAACGTTCCAAACTACCCTCCTCACGCACTGCTCCCTCAGACACGAAAAGCTCAGGCCGGATCCATAGAAAAGTGCCTGTCCGAGCGTGGATCCATACGTGGCGGTGGAGGGCCGCCAGGCCTGCCTGTATTGCTATCGACGCGACTATGGTGCGGGAAGTCCTAGTACCCGTTCATGGTCATGCGCTGGCTGTTCCTGCTGAGCTCGCGATCAGCGGCAGGTGAGATGGGGCGCGAGGAGTGGCCTCCGTGGGCACTGCTTTCTTTGAGCGCAAGCAGCTGCTTAGCACGGAACGATTCGTAGTGGATTTGTGCCGTTGTCTCGATCAGGTCTTGCAAGTGGGTGCGGGTAAGGAAGTTGCGGAGGTATACGAATTCGCAGTGGTTCTCGTCCTCGACTACGACGCGTTAGCCCAATTGCGTGAGGATAAGATGGGTATGCTGTTGCTCACCGTTGATAATACCCCACTTGTTCTGGCGACCACGGACGTTCTTGCCATTAACAACAACAGTCCTCTCGGAACCGACAACGGCAAAGGGCAAGAGCTCCTGCTACATGTTAGCTGTTGCCCGTCTCAAATACCAGCGCACTTCCAGCATACCTTGATGGCCTGCTTTGCCTGAACTTCCTCGCTGTCATCCTCCTCATTGTCGTAGGGGTACATGCGCAGGTTGTGGAACTGGAACTCCTCCTTTATTCGGTGCTTGAACTCAGCACGCTCCTCCATCGTCAAGCTGTCACTCTTGGCAATGACAGGAACGACGTTGACAAACTCGCTAAGCTTCTTGAGGACAACAATGTCAATGGGCTTCAGGGCGTGGCCAGATGGCTGGATGAAGAACAAGCAGCAGTGGATACGCGTGTCCTGGAGGTACCTCTCACGCTGAGCAGTGAGCTCCTTGCGGAGGTAGGCACTGTGCTGGTCCTTGATGTACTTGACAATGGGGTCCCAGCAGCGTTCATTGTTGATCAGGTCGCCGTAGCCGGGGGTGTCGACGATGTTGAGGCGGAGACGCACGCCGTTTTCCTCGATGATGTGTGAGACAGGGTGGATGTTGGTAGTGCTGCGGACCTCCTCGTCGGGCTGGAAGCGGCCCTTGCTGTCCATGAGGTGCGAGGCGAAGAGCGTGTTGATGAGAGTTGACTTGCCCAGACCCGTCTGGCCTGGTTACACCTGTTAGTGGGCGTGTACACAAGACAGTCAGTTCAAATAGCGGTCCTTACCAACACAGATGACGTTGAACTGGAAGCCCCGCTTGATTGACTTGCGCTCAATCTGCTTGGTGATGCTGTCGAAACCGACATAGCTGTCAGGGAAGATGGGCTGCGACTGGTTCTGGTGCGCGGCAGCCATTGTGGGCGGTGGGGGCCTCGGGTGGCGGGTATGTAGCTAAGAAGAGATGCGGAGAGTGTATGTTATGGGGGAGCTAGACCTTGTGGCAGAAGGACAAGGTAAAAACAGAAAAAGGTAGGGTCTCTGGCTGGGAAGTAAATAGTCAGGGTCGCTGGGCTGGCGACTTTCTCGCGGAGACACCAGGCGCGGGAAAGGGGTCGGCCTTAGGAAGCGAAAGCGCGCTAGTGGGAGGGCGGTAAGGCGCGACCTGCACGCTCGGACACTCGTGCGCCGACAATTTGCAACTCCATCACCGCCATCGCCAACATTGCGGGCAGCCCAGCCAGAGAAATGGCCCTTGCTCGCCCACTCCCCCCGCTCTGGCAGACCCTTCTGCCGGGCCTCAATGCCTCCACGCGACCCGTCTTGAATGCGCCTTTTCTGCAACGCCTCACACAGCCCTTTGGTGCACTGAATACACCTTTCGGCGCACTCGCAATACCCTCACTGTCACTGCCAAAGATACCGTCATTAGCGGACATCTGGGACGGAATCCTCAATGCAGTGCCCAAGAAAAAAACATCGTATCGCAAGAAGCGACAACGGTTCATGGCCGGGAAAGGGCTGAAGGATATCACATCACTGAACAGATGCTCAGCATGCGGGAGGGTCAAGCGGCTGCACATTCTCTGCCCATACTGTGTAGATGGTAGGTGGCTGTCTCAGGACATGCTAGTGGCATTGTCTAGACATACAGCTGACAATTGATGCTAGCAATCAAAACCAACATCTTCGGTCAGCTCAATTGGGCTATTCGCCGACCTACTGATAAGCAGGCCAAACAGCTCGCACGCGAGAGACGAGACGAGGCACGGAGAAAGCGCACCATGGAGCCCGACCCACGCAAAGAGAAGGAAGAACAGATCTTGAAGCATACAGGTTGGAGGAGATGATGTCACCGCCGAGAGTGATCATGGGGTAGGAATGGCAGCATCCAGCTTTCTCTCTGTTGGGTATTCTTCCCACTTGCGCAGCGACGCCGGATGGGAATAGAGAATTTCTTGTACATTGAAAATGTAACAACATATGGCATTATGCTCGAGTCATACGATATACACGAGACACTTGTTAAAGATCGAACCAAGCGATCCAAGGTGATCAAGCATCGAGGGCTCTATTATACCAACGTCCACAAAAAGTTGCAGACGAAAATAGTGTGCGCTATATCAGTATATGCATCTCAAATGCAATTCACTTCCTTTCGCTGATGCCGAGCCCGCTCTCTGTCCTGGTCATCTGACTCACAGTGCTTCCTCTTCTCGAAGCATCATCCTTGCCCTCGGCGGCTTCCCGCTCAAGGAAGTCTTGCCATAGCTCGGCTAATGATTCCTTGTTGCTTGAGCTGCTAGCCATGAGCATAGGATCTACTGCCGAGCTTAGTGACGGCGTCGATGGTGTTCGCCGGAAAGGTGCTAAGGGGAGGCGGAGACCCCCAGAGTTGGTAGCCGTGCCTGGGCGGGCGAGACCTGCTTGTTCCTTTTGCTCTACAGTCCATGTTAGATTGTGCTCGCAGCAGTAAATGTCATGGGAGACTTACCATCAGTCCACCCCAATAATGCAGAAATTAACTGCAGCGCCTCAAACTTCTTGGGATCGCTGCGGTCGATGCTCAAGAAATGCAAGAAATAATTGGTGATGATCTGGCGATCGACATTATCCTCTGGTCTGCCCTTCTTCAAAATGCGCAAGGCTTTGGTGAGGTGCTCATTTAGCGTGACAGCTTCGTGCCGCAGCTTGCCAATAAGTAGGTTCTTCTCTTTGACCTCCTTTTCGAATGGCAGTGCTCGCTCAAGGTCCTTCTTTGTCGATTCAAGTGCTACTTTAGCAGCATCTGCAACAGCGTCTGCAGCTTGTACCTGTTTTCGAAGTTCGTTGATTTGGGATTCGTATGTCTCAACAGACTTTTTGAGCTCGGCTTTCCGTACTGCAGATTGTCAGACAACAGGAACAAGACAGTGTCGATGGTACTCACGGTTCTGGACCTCCTGCAGCGCTTTTTGTAGGCCTTCTACAGCCTGACTGTTGGTGTCCCTGTCCCTGGCAGCTTTCTCATACTCATCCTTGATCGACTCGAGTTGCTCTCGTAGCTCTGTATCTTTCTCGGCAAGGTTCTCACGTAATGACCGCTCGTTCATGGCTAGCACTTCCCAATCTTGCATGGCCTGCTTTGCATTCTCAAATTCCTCCTTTGCATATGCCTCTCGGGAAATGAGTTCATCGCGTTCTTTGATCCAGTTTTGTTGTGACAGAGTGGCACGGCTTCGCAGCGTCTCAATCTCTGACGCTTGTGCCTCCTTTTCCTGTCGTAGCTTTGCAAGCTCTTCTGTGAGACTGTTGTTGTGCTCTTGTAATTCCCGGTTTTGGTCTTCGAGGTCCGCGACTTGCGTCTCAAATTCTTCAATACGAGCCTACAACTTGTCAGCATCCTAGAACGATACTTGCTGCAACACAGCAGCAGAGAGGAGCACCGACCGCATCAGCCTTCAGTCGGTCACCCAGACTCGTCTTGATCGTGTTTACCCTGCCCAGCAGGTTCTTGTACTGAGTCTCAAAGTGCTCCTTCCCCTCGTTTGCCTCGTCCAGTTCCTCTCTTAGGCTTCGAATTTCCTCCTCATGGTTGCATTGGGAGCCGTCAGCTGCGCCTGCACTCTGTTTGCTCTGAATGCCCTCTAGACTTTTCCTGAGCTCGGTGACTTCTTGGCGTAGCGCATCGCGCTCCTTTGCTATCGCATCGAGGCGGGCGCTCGTGTCGGAGGCGGGCGGTGGGGATGGAGAGAGCCCTTGATGCGAGCGTGAGCGTGCTAGTCCTAGAGCAATCGCAGAGGAAATGCTGTGGTGTGGAGTACCGTTTGTTTGTATTATTGGAGACACTGGTGGTTCGTCGTCTACATCATCGGCGTCCGGGTCTGCAGCGTGCGCAGCGGGCTTCTGTGTTTCGCAGTCTTAGTACCTAGACATGCATGCAAGGGGTATAGCATACAGTCTGCTGTTGCTGCTGCTCCCCTTCACTCTCGGAATCGTCTTCATGATCGTCTGGAGCCGCTTTGCCGTTGCCGCCATTTGCTTTTGCCGTCTCGTCTGGCTTGCTCGCATTGGAGTTTGATTTCTTCTTGTTCTTCTTCTTCTGCGACTTGGACAAAGTTCCTGTGCCTGTCTGTCAGCCCATTACTCCATGTTGCTTTACCACCACCACCACTTGCGACCGGGGATGCGGAGTTGAGCAGCACCTCCGAAAGCTACCACCTCACCTACCACTTTGTTGTGCCGGTTCAGATGTGGCTAGCGCAGACATGCTGAAAGACGTGCTGTGCAATCGCTACCTCATGGAGAAGATTTGTTTCTGGAAAAGAACAGATAAGCCGTGTTACCAGGGAGTATTCGAGGCTGTCTTGACTTGGCAATTCGTGTCCCGTTCTACTATGCTTTGTTTCGGCCCGCGTGGCGCACGTCATGAGCCACAGTTCATTAGCCACAGCCCCTCTGTCTCGGCGGACCATCTGAGCACCTTCCCCTCTCCAGCCCAGCACACGCCTGTCCACCCTCTCCTGCTTGAAGCTCACAATACCAGAGTATTATCTTTGTGCAAGCAAGCAACGTCATTGTGCTTTCACATCTCCTGCAGCTTGCCGTTTACCCGATATCAAGCCTACTAGTGACTAACGACAACGTACACGCGACGAGTTCGAAGGAGACCAAAACGGCATCCAACCCCTACCTTAAGAAAGCTCACATTTCACCAATTCATCTTCTGTCAAGCCGCATCAGAAAATGAAATACTATAAGCCTCTCTTTTACTCAGCAGCCACCATCATCTATGCTTCGTTTGCCTTCCGTGTCCTCCGGATAGGGCTACTACCAAGAATGATCATTCAAAAACGAGATACAAAAACCTCATAGGCATGTTTTGAATCGAAAAATACATTAGAATGTCCACTATATCAGATTCAACATTGGAACTTTCCACTCTGAATGTCTCTTGACATTGGACAGCCCACAAAAGAACAAACCCTAGGCTCCAGGAAAGAGAATATTCGCACTCAACCCAGCTATCACACAATATAACCATGCTTTCCCAACAGTACAACTGCATGGTCTTGTTTTCTTTTTCAGAAGCATCTCTTCTTCCTCGGGACATATAATGCTAGTTGAACCCTGAGGCTCTCGCAACCGTGCTCGGTTCCCCGCGTTGGGGCCGCTCCGCAGGTACCAACATGACAACACCACACCCACCTAGTCCGTCAATGCTTTCTCCGAATGCGCGATCGCAAGTACATATGCAATTTATATCGCGACGGTGCCGTAGGCGTGAGCCTTGGCAGAGATTATATCGCCTTGCTGCTACCATCTTTCTAATCTTGTTTTATTTATCCACTGATCGAAATCGGTACAATATACGTGAGGAATACTGGAATACAGAAGATATTCATAGGTTTCGGAGAGAATGGCAACTACTAACACTGCTGCAAGCTACTTTACGCTTAACCCTGGCGGCAGCAATGGAACTACCCACACCAACGGTACTTCCAACATCAACGGCACACCCCACGCCAATGGAACATCTCACACCAACGGTACATCCCGCACGAACGGATCGTCCCACATGAATGGCAAAATATCGAAAAACCTTCCAATCGTGATAGCTGGGGGTGGTTGTGTTGGTCTTTTTCTTGCTCTTCTTCTAGCTCAGTCGGATGTCCCTAACAAAGTCATCGTCATCGAACCCGAGCAACCTGACCCCAGCTCTACACGAGCAATGGCTCATCAACCGCCGACTTACCCCATATTCTCAAAAGTAGAAGGATTACTGCCTGAATTAGTCAAGATTGGAAGTTTGAGCTCGGGATTGTGCTTTCGAAATAGTCTGCAATACGGAAGCAAGATCATTGCTGAAAAGACGTTTGACAACTCAGGGGAGGGGATGAAGGGGAAGGGACAGCTATTATTGCCCCAGGGCAAGTTTCAGCAAGTACTCATGAAAAGATTAGCTGCCTTGGATCAAAAGGCAGAAATTCGACTTGGGGTCAGTGTCACTGGATTAAGACCATCACCGGACAGCGTTGATGTCAAGACGACGCCTACGCCTACCTCTTCGCGCCTTGGGATTGAATGGATAGAAGCAGCATATCTCATCGACGCATCTGGAGCCCACTCTACCATCCGAAAAGAGCTCGGTATCAAGTTAGAAGGCGAGACGCTCGCGGCCCAACTCGTAGCCACAGATCTGTACTTTGACTTCCACAGCCACGGGTTCTACGATGCCAATTTCATCATCGATCCCCAGAGCTATGGCCTCATTGGGCGGATCAGTCATGCAACAGACTCTAAGCCACCTCTATGGCGTGTATCCTATGGTGTGCCTCTGAATACTACAGAAGAAGAGATCAAGAAAGAGATAGACGAAAAGCTTCGTCTCATGCTTCCGAACAGAGGCAGGAACAGCGAAGGAGCCATCGACTACGAAATCACCCGGATAGCACCATACAAAGCGCAACAGCGGCTCGTCGAGTCACTTTACCACGCATCCTCTCACACTTGCCTCGTAGGTGACGCTGCGCATCTAACGAATCCTTACGCTGGCCTCGGTCTTGCGTCCGGCATGGCAGACGCTTCGTCTCTTGCTGAAGTCTTGATTCATATCATGGGCGACAGAGCACTTAACGAAGAGAGACTACTGAAGGCATGGTCGGACGCCAGAAGAGAGAAGTTTCTAAGCGCGATTGATATGCCGTCGAGGATGGCGTACCAGCGCGTCAAGACAGATGTCAGTACCGACGAGAAGATACAGGAGTTCACGAGCAAGGATCCGCTGGTGGGAGCGCTGAAGAAGGGTATGCCCGTCCAGCCACCCAGTTTGGAGACCAAAGTGCAGGAGTTGGAAGGATGGTGACGATGTTGTTGTCGTGATAGTAACGTCTCTCGAAGTGTTATTCATAACCCCTCATTTCGGATTCGTTAGAAATGTAATCCGCAAACCCGCTTCCGAAAACTGTGTTTTCTTACTACTACAACTGTGATTTTTCGTTTTCAAACTCCCTTTTCAGGAGTTTATTCATTACGGTTTTAAACATTAAAGCGAAATTCAAGCATCATAGAAATCATCCAGCGGACACACGCCCTGCGGCATGGCATCGTCGTCAACCACCGAATTAATAAATTGCGTCCACAGATCCGTGTCGCGTGTGAGATCCTGCAGCGTCTGTCCCCGCCGCTCTCTCGCAGACACCTGCTGCTGCTGCTGCGGTGGCGGTGGCAGCGGCGCAGCCGTCCTCGACCTCGGCGCCTCAGAATGCCTAATCATCTTCCTATACGCCAGCTGCGCCAGCGCAACAGGATCCTGATCCGGCGTAAAATACTCAAGATAGTCTTGCAGCTGCGGCACGGGATTGCTCTCGGGATACCCCTCCACACGCCCCGTCGAATGCTGGTTCCACGAGCAAAGCACAGTGTGCAATTGCATTCCCTGGACTATCCTTCTCCACTCGTAGAAGATGACGGGGCGCTGGAGCAAGGAATGGATGACATTGCTGTGGATCCAGTCGGACTCTGTGAGGCCTTGCTTCTCCATGTGCTGCGCGAGGTGGTTGCAGCGTTCGGTCCAGTCGGAGCTGAAGTGGCAGCAGAAGCCGCAGCCCCATCCCGTTCGCGTCATTCGCTCTTTCCGTGCGGAGAGCATGTGCGTTTTCTTGTTCCATTTTGTGGTGCCGCTGCAGGGGGCGCAGCGGTGCGATTGCACGTGGTGTGCGGTAAAGTCTTTTTCCAGAAAGTAGATTGCGGGACAGAGATCGCATTCGAACATTTCTGGGCGTTCTTGGTAGGTTTCTTCATGGCGTTTCCAGTCTGCCTTCTCGACAAAGGGTTTCTTGCAGCTTGTGCAGAAGTACTTGTGGGATTTGGTACAGGTTCGGGATTGTTTGTGGGCGGAGACGCAGGTTTTGAAGTAGTCTTTTTCTTGCACGAGGGGCTTCCTCGATGGTCGGCGCTTTGATGTGATAGAGCTAGTTTCTTCTATGGGGCTTGAGAAGTAAGGGGGCTGGGCTGATGGACCGTGACTTAGCAGATACTCGGTCTGTAGGACGTGTTGGTCCTGACCCATGCCAGATGTGCGGGACCATGAGGAGGATGACGATACTGAATCTCGGAAGGAAAGGTCTGAGAATCCGCTTGTTTGTGACGATCGTAAGCTTGAACCTGCTGAAGAGAAACTTGAGGTGGAGAGGTGCTGCGCATGAGGAAAAGACTGGGGTGGGATATCTGTGTTCGACCAACGGCTATTGTGCTGACCATGGCAACCTATACATGTTGTTAGCCTCATTGGATACGGACACGCTGGAGCGGTTATCGCGTATAGTATACCTGTAGAGCCTTGGTCGTAGCCACGAAACTGCAGCTGTTGATTTTGCAGTTGCGGCCATCTAGGCTGCACACCCTCGAATGAATCCTCTTCAAGACCATTCGTCATATTGTACATGTATTGCGAGCCAGCGCTGAGGTCCCTGTAACCATTCATTATGCTACAGATGAAAAGAAAAAAAAAGTCAAAAAGCGAGATAAGTATGCTGATGCGCGAAGCAGAAAGAAAAACACATTAGGAAATCATCTGCCGCGGTAGAAAAAAAAAGACCTGCATCGTCATTCATATATTAGCCTGCAGCTGTTTGCCGCAGGCAACCAGAATTATAGACCAATTCGTGCTGTCAGAGGCGTGAAGTTCACCTGAAACACGGTGAAGGCCCGCTGACATCTGTTGTTCGGGGGGCCCGTGTTTCAAAACATTCGCCACCGAGGACTCGACACGACCATGATTGGTGAGTTTACGCATGTAGGGAATGAATGCGTGCATGCCTGGATTCCCACCTCGGACGCAGTGTGTTCACCGGTCTAGACGAAGGGAGGCGGTGCAGTTGCGGTTGGTTGTGGGGCTGAAGGCCGAAACACAAACTAGCGAGGGAGGCTGTACGATGGGCCAATGATCAAGATTCAGGCTAGCTACAATCCGTATAAACCTCTGCACCCTGAATATCGACAATCTGCAGCGGAACTCATCTCATAAGTTTTGTTTCTAAAAGCGAAAGAGACCGCTCCGCAGGCTTGGCACAATCAGCCTCATGTCGTCATTCTCATCTCACTGTTGCTGCGTTGTCATTTGTCCAATTTCCCAAGGGTCTTGATATCTTTTCGGCACCAAGGTCGTTCTGACTTGTTCAAAGATCGATTAGGATATTCCCAATCACCCTGCTCCCAAGACTGGCTCCGGCCCCCTGAACCATCAGCCACCTCCATGGTGGAGTACCAGACGAAATGTGCGCGCCAAGAATGTGTCGGTAATCTTCTTCAGCCACACCCATATTCTCCTTATCCAATTCCGTTGATCACTGATCCTGTTTCCATCTTGATGTTGCCGCTCACTCTGGTTCACTTGCTGGTCACAGTGACTGTTCTCATTCTCCGATGTAGTGTACGAGGGTCCATCTTCGAAACTCTCACAACTTTCTCCATCTTCTTGGGGGGTATGAGTGCCATCAAAGTCGGCGAAGTGATCCACGCCATCTTCGTGGGACACCTCAGAAGATGTCCTCATAGATGGCATTGTGGAAAAGGAAGAGCTGCATGAGTGTACCATTGTGTTGTGTTTGTGCGGTGGCTCAGTGTTTCTAGGTATGAATTCGGACGGATTTCGAATTTGAATACAACCACCGTCGAGTTTTGGTGCCGAACCGTTATAGAGAAAGGGTCATGTGGTAAGGTCTGGTTATGTTCAGTAAGAATGCGTGAGTAAGCGCGTCAATGTACAGTGTAAGTCAAGATTATCAGTGAATCACCGCTTGTAGTTTGCTGGTCCTTCTTTTCTAGTGAACCTGCAATGGTACTTCCGTGTGTTCCTTATCAACTTACTGTTTGTCGTTTGGTAAGCTCGTGCTCGCTTTGCGCTCCAATGGGACGCGTCGCTAAATAAGCTTTTGGTTCCGTGGGCACATCAGGGCGTCACGACAGAAGCTTCAGGGCAGTAGCCCGTGAGTCTATTCACCCTTAATACTGAAATTGAGATGGGTATTCAGCTAGCTTCATTTTCAATAGTCTGATCACATGATCAACGAAGAAAAGGGGGTTGACCTGGAAGGCTTCTGGCCTAGGCGGCAGCGATCGAAGTATAGTACATTACATATTCTCTTCTCATGTACAGAGTAGCCCCAGTGATGTATTTAGCTGTGGCAAGGCAATCATCTTCTCGTCCCAAGTTTGTAAGGTAAGAACAGACTGAATCTGTTATACAGATTTGTAATACCACTGCTCATTGCTTGAACATTCGAGGGATTGGCAGGAGCTCGTCCAGTCGCCTGGCTATCGTCGCCAATTCATTATCCCATGAATGAATACACTTCTGCAGGAATGCTGTCCAGTCTTGAATCTTGTGTAACTCTAAGCCAACGAGCGCAGTGTCAAGGGCTGACCGATTCTCATGGGAGAGGCTAGAGTTTGGAAAATCCAGGCTCTTGATCACGCCGTGATGCACCTTGATTTCAACGCCGATATCGTCTTTAGGGTCAAGTATGAGACTAAACGCTGGGGTTTGTGACCACATCCACTCTTCGGACTACGGCTATTAGCACTGAGAACGATGAACCACAAGACTTCTAACATACCTGGAGCTCGTTGTAACCCTTGCGGATATCTGGAATATCTAGAAACTCATCCCCAACGGTCTGTATTGTGCTCGGTGGCCCCAGTCCGGCATACATGAGAGAAAACTCTTCTTGCAGGCGGAGCTGAAACGTCTTGACGTCTAAACCAATATTTGAAACAGGCGAGCTGACACTCTCCACACCTTGAGCGCGAATGACACTCTTAGCTGGAGAGCGGAGGTAGTGTGGTATGATGTGTAGATTCGGGGAGCTCAGCAGGGTGGTCGCGTGATGGAGGGCGCGCTGTCGTGTGAGTTTGTACGCCGAGCCAGAGACCTTGAGGGGACGAGGGAGAGCTCTATTCTGTATGGTATAAGGCGTGCGATGGGTGTCTTCGGGATCAAAAGGTTGCCCATCGTTGCCTTGGCCTTGATCGAGAACGATATCGTGACGCTCATTGACCCTGGCGCGTTGAACACCCAGCTTTCGTAGCGCACGAACAACCATTTCGGCATGCTTATCGCGTGTGAAGTCGGCGCGTGGGCACGTTATGCTCCAATTGAGATTTCCCTCATCGTGGAAAACAGTGCCTCCTCCCGAACGGCGGCGCACAAGATCGACGGTGCCAATGCCTGGGGGCTCGGTATCCTTGGGGTCATGTGTCCCACGAGCAGCATCTAGGATGCCTAGATTGACCTCGGACCATGGGTTCTGGTTGCGCCCGATGACGATGCAGGGTCGGTTCACATAGAGGAAGAGAATAGTGCTGTCTGGCGGGCTTTTGCGTAGGATATGGTCCTCGATGGACAGATTGCAGTAGGGGTCGCTACTGGTGGAGACATAGCTTTGCAGCTTATTGGCAGGGTCGGCGAGAGTGTCTGTAAAGGTCAAGTAGGAGCATTGTTGGAAGCTGCTTAGCCTGTGGTGCGACAGACGGAAAAGACGTGTCTGGCTGATAGGATTGCGCGACGCTCTGTCCACTGAGAGCGAAAAGAAGTTCCGATGAGGGCGGATGACATATCCCGAGAAAATCCTCTGCGCGTAGGAAATAGCGCAACCTCTCGATGGGGCCATGATGATGGAGACGGGGGATACAATGTGACTTTGTCCTGGTGTACCTCGTTAATGAAGTCCTCGCCGCCAGGTGCCTGGATGCGCGTTCAGAACATGCAGCCTGATCGCATCACCTAACATTTTCCAAATATGCTCAAGTTGACAGTTTCTAATTGCACTAGGAATCATCTATTGAAGTCTTATCTTTGGCATTGCTGCCTTTCCTGGCTCACAATAGATTCGCACCCTGTTCCGATAGATCCTGGTCTTTGCATGCCAAGACAACCAGCCACCCTAACCATGAGCGGGAGACCTCCTTGCTCTTCTCCTTATTCACGACACCAACAGCAAATCTTACGGCTCATGAGCAAGGCCATCGTACATGTTTCCGCGATGGTGCTCATGTTACACGCGTTCTCTCTGCACTGTGAACCCTTCATATAGTTCGGCCAGCGACGCGTGCCCGCGTGGCACGCTCATCATCGCGCCACCATCGCACTGCAGCCGCCACTAATACCTACACAGTTCTATCTTGTAGTCAACGTCGGGCGTTACACACTCGTAGTCCTCGGACTTCGTGTGTGGGTTCAGCAGCTCGGGTTTTCCCTCCATCTTTAGATGATTAGCTGCTGAACAAAGGCATCACCCAAGAATAAGGTTTTGCGGTCCGGTGTCTACCATTTGCTTTGCAACTGCTGCTGACCCGTATTTGCAATGCTGTGAGCCTATCTGGCGTCTTTGCCCTGCCATTGCATCCTCTTCTCTTCTGTCCTTTCGGATCAGCGGGGTATTGACGGGCGCACGGCATAGGTGGGATTGACGTTTCGTTTCAGCTCATATATAGTCTATTGATTCTATAGCAATTTGCTTTCTTTGCCAATTTTCTTGTGCCTATTTGCATGCTGAAAAAGCTATATTGGTAGCTTTGTTTGCTTGGACAGTCGAGTGCTTAGCTTTGTGTTGTGAAAGAGATGCTGATTGGCACTGGCCTAAGTACCACAACGTGATCAGTCTTCTCCATGACTAGGCAACCATCTTGTTCAAAACCATCAACCTCATCTTCTACGTAACCAGAAACAGCGCTATCCAGAGCCATGGCCTTCATTTCACGCGAGACATTTTTGAAAGGCTATCTTTTCCCGCTTGGAGCAGTACATGACTTCGAGAATGCTGGTGGAGCGGCTCAGTTGGCCGCCTGTCATCCGAAAGAATGGACGCAAGCGGACAATGTTCTTGACTTCAGTGTTCATCTAAATGAAAGCGATAAGGGTAGCTACGCATTCTATTGTACAACCATCACCTCCGATAAAAAGTTGCTGGCCATCAGCACATCCGCAGAGAAAATATTAGTGTATGACATTGCATCTCAAGAGCTACGAGAGACCCTCGAGGGAACTGGAAAAGTCTACTTTCGACCTTCGGTAAATACTAAGACACACTCTGGGATTGCTGACCAGACTCTCAACAAATATGCTGCACGCCCTGCTGGCTATACCCTTGTAAGCGTCTCGACCACAGGACGAAACAAGGCATCAGCATCCAACCAACTAATTCTCTGGGATTTGGACCAACACGGGCGGATTCTTGACAAAGAAGAAGGGATCGACGCTAACGCTCTTGCCACAAAAGCAATCAATGCGATTGCTCCAGAACTGGAAAAGCGCCATGAATGGACCCAAAACTTTATCCATACTTCCACACTACACACCATGTTTGCGGAGGCGCTGAATCAAGTTGCCACAGACTATCGCACGCGACACAATACCATTTTTGATGACGCACAACTTGGAGGCTTTGGTTCGGTGTCTATGAGTAATGATGGCAGGTTGTTTTTGTACCATTTAAACAACAATCCAACTCAGCAAGGTTCTCGTGAGCCAGAGGAGCTACCACAGGTGGTCGTCTACGATCTGGATGAAGGCATCGAACTCCATCGTCTTGCAGGACACACTGATGCCATCATGTGGTCTGCTATCAGTCCGGACAGCGCCCACATTGCATCTGTATCCTGGGATGGTAGTTTACGCATGTACTCTGTCCTTACTGGAGAGCTTGAGTGGGCTGCCGGATGCTCAAAAGAACAAAGCTGGGCAGGTGCATTCTCTTCAGACTCACGTTTCATTGCCTGGAGCTCCAAATGTGGTCGGGTCGTTCAGTTATATGATGTACCTGATGGAAAGAAGCGCGCCACATTTCCAGTAAAGCTATCGGACTGGTGCAGATCTCTCCAGTGGCATCCTCATAAGACTCAACTTGCTTTTTGCGCTGGCAAAGATGCTTATGTGTGGGATGTCCTCAATGGGCCTGACGGTAAAATGTTACAACACTTTCAGATTGACGAATCCTGCGGCACGGACAGTCGAATGGTCTCCATTCAAGATATTGGTTGGATGGATCAAGAGCCTACGCTGTATCTCGACATCTCAGAGGGAACCAAAATCGTTTACAATACTGAGAGTAACGCCAAAGAGATATTCAGACGACCTGCCGGTGTTGTGACTGGGTACGTTGATGGTGGGATGTATGGAGTCTTCTTGAATGATGCAGGAGATGAGTACTACATCAGCATTGATGGTGATGCAAAGGTGCGATACTGGCGGCGAGGTATTGCTGCCTCTACATCTTGGTGGGAGAAAGATCCTGGCTCTGTAGCCAGTCCGAAGAAGACGTTTCCCGACACTGGAAAGTACGTTAAGATTACCAAATCCGCCAGCAAATCCGCAGAAAAGCAGTAGAAAGAGGGAGATGAATGAGTTGCAACAGGCGTCGGGCTCTCAACTACCGAGGTAATTGCTTAGTGATGGCGTTGACGATGTCATCTGCCTTCCATCCGATCGCGATAGCTGTTTTCATGATCGATTATCAGTTCCTTCACTTCTCCCGTGATAGTTTGTGAGCTTACATTTTCGTCCGAAAAATCCTGATTGTGAAGAAAAAAAACCCAGACCCAGTCAATTGCACCATCATGAGTTCAATTTATCGCGATCCTAAACGCGGTCAATTATGCGGAATTCGGCACAGACACGGTGCTCAATTGGCATGTCTTGAGTAACCACGAGGTCCGAGCCCCGATGCATATAGCACCAGTAAACTCATGCTAATATCCGCGTCAGCGCTATTCCTAAAAGCACAAATCGGATCGTGCACAGGACGCAAGTTTGGGTATGCGGCGGGGGAATCGAAGATGCGCAAGTCATCGTGTTGTGTGTGTGGATGGGGGTGGCGCAAGAGCTGCCACGCGGCTGGCCAGCAAAGGCGTTCCGGACCGTGTAACCGTCCCCGTGCCTCCATCCCAAACCTTTCAGGCTGAACCCCACACCGCCATTCGCTTAGCCCCACGCCGTGCGGCTCACTGTGCTGCTGAGGCCTGTGTATATGAAGTGGCCATGACCGGTGAATGTTCCCTGAAAATCCCTCACTACCTTTTGTTCCCTGTACACGCTGGCCGGGGTTCTGCTTTCGAGGTCTGCTCGAGCTTGCGTTCATTTCTGTCGTACTAAAAGAGTACTGACGAGCTGTGTTCGCTCTTTGATGGTCCCAGTTGACCAGCACCAAAGTCTCATTCTCGTACCGTAGACTGAACTGGCTGCAAAGCTAAGGGCGTTGTGGCTGTTGCGCATTCTCGTCCTGCATCGCACCCGCAATCCACTTGTATTCTGCTGTATCACTAAAACACAGTAAGCTATGCCTCCTACGCCATACCGGCACTTAGATCTTATATAACCAACCAGCCCTTTACGGTACCAAAAGAATACCGTGAACGCTATAGATACCACTCATGCCTGCCCCTTCAGCCATGTTACGACCAACGGAGAATGGCGAGCGATATGAGCTCACCAGTCCAACCGAGATGCCCAAAGCCGGTGCATTTCTTTGGAATCAGCGTATGATGATACAGGTGACTTGTCGTGGATTCGCGACCGCCCAGTACATGCAACCTGAACCCGCCAAATACGCCTATGCACCAAACCTCGAAGCAAAGACGTTTATGCAACCCGAGCAAAATTACTACGCACATCATCCAGGCCGCTTCGTTTACATCAAAGACGAAGAGACTGGCGATCTCTTTTCGGCTCCATATGAGCCAGTAAGGGCAAAGCCAGATCGATTCGTTTTCAATGTTGGCAAGAGTGACATCAAATGGACTGTCGAGAAACTTGGTGTTCGCGTCGAGATGACGTTTCTTCTTCCTACAGATCACGTTGCTGAGCTATGGAGTATCAAAGTCACCAATATCTCCGGTCGTGACCGGAAACTAAGTATTTATCCTTACTTTCCTCTTGGATACATGTCCTGGATGAACCAAGAAGCACAATGGGATGAAAGTGTTGGAGGTATTGTTGGTAGTTGTAAAACGCCATACCAGAAAGCCGAAGATTACCCCAAGACAAAATATCTCAAGGACAAGACGTATTTCCTTTGTGAAACAGTACCAGTAGCATGGGAAGCCAGACAGGAGTCTTTCGAGGGTGAGGGAGGACTACAATCGCCATCATCGATAATGGAGCCGGAACTTTCAAAAAGCGATGCTCGTTACGAAACGCCAACCGCGGCAGTGCAGTATCGAGCTCAACTCAAGGAAAACGAAAGCAAAGACTATCGATTCCTTTTTGGTCCTGCATACGATGAAGCTGAGATCCTCGAGATGCGCAAGACGTATCTCAGTAAGATTGCATTCGCCCAAGCCACCAAAGACTACGAAGACTACATTCAGCGAGGTAGCGGCTGCATTTGTTTGGAGACCCCAGACAAAGATCTTGACAACTTGGTCAACAACTGGCTGCCACGGCAGCTATACTACCACGGCGATGTGAACCGTCTCACAACCGACCCGCAAACGCGAAATTATCTACAAGACAACATGGGCATGAGCTTCATCAAGCCCGAAGTAGCCCGGAAAGCAATTCTGACAGCAGTTGGCCAACAAGAAAAGAACGGCTCTATGCCAGATGGCATCCTGCTAGCCAAGGGCGCAGTCCTCAAATACATCAACCAGATCCCTCACACCGATCACTGCGTCTGGCTTCCAATCGCTCTCGAAATCTACCTGAACGAGACAGGAGACTACACTATCCTGGACGAAAAAGTCAACAGCATGTACGGCGATACATACACCGTTTTCGAACGCTTCAGCCGCGCAATGGACTGGCTCCTCTCCTCCAACGCCCGCGACGACCGCGGTCTCTCCTACATCGCCCAAGGCGACTGGTGTGACCCCATGAACATGGTCGGACCCAAAGGCATCGGCGTCTCGGGCTGGCTCACCGTCGCAACCGCCTACGCCGTGAACCTGTGGGCGCAAATCTGCGAAGACGCCGACAAACCCGACATCGCAAAGAAATACCGCGCTGGCGCCGAGAAAGTCAATCAGTCTGCAAACGAGCATCTCTGGGACGGCGATTGGTACGCGCGCGGTATTACAGATGACAATGTTACGTTTGGTATTAAAGATGACAAGGAAGGCCGCATCTGGTTGAACCCCCAGGCCTGGTCGATTCTCGGGGGTGCGGCGTCAGAGGAGCAGATTGCAAAGATGCTACCGCAGATTGACGAGCAGCTTACTACGCCGTACGGCGTCGTCATGTTCGGTCCGCCGTTCACGGCTATGCGCGAAGATGTCGGCCGTGTAACGCAAAAGTACCCGGGACAGGGTGAGAACGGATCGGTGTATAACCACGCTGCTGCCTTCTACGCTTGGGCACTGTATACCATTGGCGACGTTGATCGCGCGTATAGCACGCTGCGAGCTATGATTCCGGGACCTGACGAAGAAGATTTGATTCGTCGTGGTCAGCTTCCTATTTTCATCCCCAATTACTACCGTGGTGGGTACGGGATTAAGCATCTGGATCGTACGGCGGGGCGCTCGAGTCAGTTGTTCAACACGGGAACTGTGAGCTGGGCGTATCGATGCGTCATTGAGGGGTTGTGTGGCTTGCGGGGTGTCAAGGAGGGATTGAAGATTGATCCCAAGTTTCCGAGTGATTGGGACGAGATGAATGTTAGGAGGCAGTTTAGGGGTGCTGTGTTTAATGTGCAGATTAGGAGGGGGAGTGTGGACAGTGTGAAGGTGACGGTTGATGGGGAGCAGATTGCGGGTAATGTTATTAGGAATGTGGAAAAGGGACGGACGTACACGGTACAGGCTGATGTGCCGAGGGCGAACAAAAAGAAGCATGGGGTTTTGACAAATGGCCATGGGGCGAATGGGACGAATGGAACCAAGTAGAAGCATTTGAGGGATCCATACTTTTTTTTAGATGAGTTGACTAGATTACGTTTTATGAATGACAAAAGTTTGGACATCAAGTGGGATAAGATTAATCATGTTTTGTTCATAGCCATGTCTTACTCACGCACCCATTGGTTGCAAGAAGAACATGGTTATACTATTATCCCACGCACTCTCAGCCACCTCCTCAACGCTCAATCCCTTCAGCCCAGCCACCACAAACGCCACCTTCTCCATACTACAACTCTCATTCCGCTCCTTGACCATATCCCCCAAACTAAACTTATCCTTCTTCTTGCTCCCCCAAGCCCACTTTGTCGCATTCTGCAAGTAAGCCTTCGCAACCTCACTCGACGCCTGAATCTCACCCCACGGCGCATCCGTCTCAATCTGCAGCTTCTCAAGCGGCACATCCCGAATCATCTCCAGACTATCTCTATCCCGGAACGCAAAATTGTTGATACTGACATGCAAGCCCATGCTAACGAGCTTTTGCATCTGCTGCGTAGTCCCCACAAACGAATGCACCAAGCCGGAGCGTAGGGGGAGCTCCTCCCAGTACGACTCGAGGATAGAGATGAAATCTTCAAAGGCAGCGCGACAATGTAGAAACAAGGGTAGTTTCCATCCCGCAGCCACAATCATATCGAGCTGGCGCTTGAACACGCGGATCTGCACATCTTTAGGGGCGGCAGCTAGCTTATCGTAGTCGAGCCCTAGTTCTCCAAAAGCGGCCAGGACGTGCGGCTCTTGCTCCATAATCCGGGAAATGGTTTCGGAAACCGACGCGTAGTATTCCTCGCCACCCTCGTCTGCCTCAACCGCATGGTACGGATGGACACCAATAGTGACTTTGCATTGCTTTGGCCGCTTGCGGGCGATGGCAATGTTGATGGGCACGTCAGCGGCATACATGCCTGTCAACATTACTTTCTCGACTCCAGCGGCTAGAGCGCGGTCCAGGACAGCGTCGAAGTCGGGTTCATGGTATTGCTTGCCACGATAGAATCCAGCAAACTCCTTTGCTGTTGCTGTTACAGCGACCTGTAGGTTGCGTCATTCCGGTTTACTGCTGTCGTGGTTGACGTGGGAAAAGGGAGGTTGGGCATACGTCTGCATATCCGAGTTTTTGTGTAGGTGCAGACGGTGCCTTAGTCGGAAAGCCATCAAGGAGAGATGACATTTTGGCGTCTAGCGATTGGAGAATGGGGTGCTTTCCGGAGATGAAGGATGCCGTGTCGTTGCGGATGCAAATGAGAGAAAGATTTCCGGGATAGAGGGTGCGGCTCGAAGCGTCGGAAGGGGACCTTCCGAGTTCGGAACAATTTCAATTCTGGGCATTTCTTGGCTTTTGAATCACGTCTTCGCGCCGTCTGAAACTGTTTTTTTAGTGGACTTTCTCGATGGCTTCCTGTGGTGTTCCTTGTAATTTCATTATGTAAATGAATGTTGTTGTTAGAGGTGTTGGAAGAATCCATGTATATTGTAACTGAAGGGGCCGGACACCGACTGGGCGCCTAAAGGTGCGGACGACACTCGGTGATAGCATACAATTGGGGTTGGTTTCAAACATGTCCTTGAAGAAGCGAAGTCCATTGCCGTGATAAGGTGTTGGGTTTTGGCTGCAGCAAAGGCACCGGACAATTGGTTACCAAGACTTGGCCTAGAGGGTTCGGCAGATAAGCTGGTGGCTTGCTATGTTCTCTGGTGGAGCAACCAGCAGATATAGTTACCAGTGAATTGACAAAGTGATTTGTAGCTAAAGATTTCCTATCCTCTCTTCAGTGTCGCTCACGGACTGTTAGTACGCAGGTCTGGATACAGTCAGCCGACAACATAGAGTGTCGGAAGGCCTAGACTGCACCTTCCAAAACAAATCCGCAGATCAACCGCGATGATCTTTACCTTGGCTCAATTGCCACTACAAATCAAGGATAGACTATGGCGACTCCATCTACAGGGCCCTCTTCCAGACTCCTTCTACACCGGCCAGAACGAACTCAAACCCCAACCATGGCCATTTGTTTTACGTAGTGCACTACCAGGCTCAGAAGGTAGCCCGCCAAAACATATCATAGGGCCGCCAACAGCGGCGACCCAGTCTACACAGTACACTGCCAAAACAATCTTGGGTCAACCAAAGCGAACGTACTTCAGTTACCTTACAAACTGAGGTCCTTGGGTGTGCCTGGCACAAGGCTTTCATTCTGTTTTATTGTGCAGTATCAAGTCGTTACTGAACAGTCTCAAGACAAAGCGGGTTCAGTCGTGGTTGCGAGTCTTTCCCCTCAGTACAGCTCACATACAATTCTCCGACGTGACGTCGCTATCGTATAACTATGCAAGGACGCGGCTGGGTACCTGATATATATTGGAGTGAGCACCATGAGAAGCAAAGTCAGCATCTCAACTGCCTTAATAGACCATTCCGAAAGAAATGCCAAGTGTGTACCTGGTAAGTGCAAGAGAGCTTGTGATAACGACGACGTCAAGAACCAGGCAACCATTTTCGACGGTAAACCGCATGTGATCAGCGCAGCTCAAGGCTACCCTTACTCCATAGTGGGGCACCATTAAGCATTTGGGAGCTAGTACTACTTAAGCAGGCGTTTGCTAGGCTTGATCACGAGGATGTCGGATGGAATAGGGTCGGTTCACACATCTCCGGGCGTCGTCTTAGCCAAAGCCATGATGCTCTATTTTTTTGGTTCCCCAACACCACAAGTATCTTAATCCGAGTATGTCATCCTAGGGAAAAAACAGGCCGAATACAGGAATGAACATTAGAGGTTCGTATAAGAGTTTGTGGCATCGCGATCAAGCACGTGCAGGATGCGTGCACAGATACCGGACAGGGCTATGGGTAATTGCTCCATCCAGCCCCCCCTGCTCCTTGCGATCGCAATACTCCGCCCCGCTTACTCTTACCCTTGATCGCCCTGTCCATTTTTCCTCGTCATTCCAATTGGTCTGTGTACGCCTGTTGTATTACACATGGCCATAGATTTTGCCAGCAACTCGTACTGGTAGAGCTGTGCTTACTTTAATTAACTTGTCGACCATCACGCCATTAAACCAACAGCATTGTAATCACCGATTACTCGCAGCCAGCAAAGACAGGTTTCTTAGCTAATGACTAAGCTGGTAATGATCGTCGTATACAAGATAGTTAACGAGTATAGTCGCCCATGGCGACAATTTGACAGCATTACCAGCAATCCTGAATATGCTTGGTCTCCACATCGCCAATTCAAACATACATACAGCTTTACTGCTTAGTCTACCCGCCAACGCTTCATTGCCCTTCTAATCTTAATAACAATCAGGGATCTGACGTTCTGACGTTCGGCTGTAGTCTCAAGTTTCACCAAGAGGGGAAACGTGCAAGCGATCGGCACTGCGAGGTGGGTGGGGGTCAGCCAATCACGCACGCCCATGTCGGTGCTGCTATCTACTAGGCGCTTTGTCGATATTGCAAGCGATAAAGGGCTCGGGACTTGGCAATCGGACATGCGTTTAATCGGGAAGGTAAATTCGAGAGGTGTGTATGGCGTTTTCTAGTCTGCGATTGTGTCCATTCGGGGCTAATGGCATAACGCTGCCACATGACACAGCCTAACCGATATGTTACTACTGCATCTCTATCATATCTCTACCTCTCCTTCCTGTTTGGATACTGGGGTAGCGTGGTAGGAGGTTCATGCGTTTTGTTGACTTTCCTGTTAAGATCAGCCGCATCGGCACTTAATAATACCCTAAGGCGAGTTGCCTTGTCAAGTGCCATTTGTGGAGCCGCTGTGTAGGCGAATGTCTTGTCAAATGCCTTTTGTGGTGTAACATGGTAGCGAAATGTCTTGTGAAGTTCCTTTTGAGGACTGCCTTTCCGATACTGTTGCAGCGTGTAGGAAACATCTTGTTGCCGATGAGGAAGGAGGCATCTCGTAGCGGCCAATGCAACCTTGTGCTCTATCTAGGACTGACACTGGTAGATCATGATGCAAGGGACAACGGTAAGAGGTCGAGTATGTATAAATATGAAGCTGTGTTCCTGTCCAATGTCGATACTTCATCAGGATAACAAGACAAGTCTTCTACAACCATCCACTTCACAACATCGATACTTGACTCTTGTGTGTTACTTCCACAATCCTGACCATGGAGCTCACCAAATTCCTCGCTGCTCTCGCAGTCTTCCTGCCCATCGTCTATGGTGCCCCTACCGCCGCCGCCAACGACCTCCACCCCGAGATCCTGGCTGCCATGAAGCGCGACTTGGGCCTTGATGCCGACGCGGCTCGTGTCCGCGTTGCCCGCGAGATCCAGGCCACCGAGGTCATTGAGCAGCTCCGCGCAAAGGCTGGCAGCGCCTTCGGTGGTGCCTGGCTCGTCGACGGCGAGATCAAGGTCGCCGTCACTGACGAGGCCTTGACCTCCGAGGTCACTGCTGCTGGTGCCACCGCCTTGGTCGTTGACACTCCCCTCGAGAAGCTCCAAGAGGCTCAGAAGGCCATCGACGCCCTCGACATCGAGCAAGCTGCTGGCAAGCGCTCAGAGGAGGCTGCCGGCGGAATCGCCTCCTACTATGTTGACGTTGCCTCCAACAAGCTTGTCTTCGAGGCCATTGCTAGCGGTACCGCTAAGGCTGAGGAGCTCGCCAAGAAGGTTGGCCTGACTGAGGCTGACTACGAGATCCGCACCGTTGAGGAAATGCCCACTACCTTTGCCACTCTCCGCGGTGGCGATGCCTACTACATTGGAGGCGGCCGATGCTCTGTCGGTTTCTCCGTCACCACTGGTTTCGTCTCTGCCGGCCACTGCGGTCGTGCCGGCAATGCTGCCACCACCAGCGGTGGTGCTAACGTTGGAACCTTCTCTGGCTCCTCCTTCCCCGGAAACGACTACGCTTTCATCCGCGCTAGCAGCGGAAACACCTACCAAGGCAGGATCAACAACTACAACGGTGGTACTCTCCCTGTCTCTGGCAGCACTGCTTCCGCTGTCGGTGCCAGCGTCTGCCGCTCCGGCTCCACCACTGGTGTCTTCTGCGGTACCATCCGCTCCCTTGGCGCCAGCGTCAGCTACGCTGAGGGCCGTGTCACTGGCCTCACCCAGACCAACGTCTGCGCTGAGCCCGGTGACTCTGGCGGTTCTTTCTACTCTGGTGCTCAGGCCCAGGGTGTCACCTCCGGAGGATCTGGTGACTGCACCCGTGGCGGAACCACCTACTTCCAGCCTGTCAACGAGATCCTCTCCGCCTACAGCCTTACCCTTGTCCGTGGTTAAATAACTCTTTCATGTCTATACTTGTTTATACTGCTGTTGGAAACGCATCATGGTCGCAGCCCACGCAATTTGTACATATGTCAATTTATCTATATCCATCTAAAAACGTCCCTGATGATTCTTGGTGAAGTCGTGATGCTTAGCTGCTTGATATCTTTCCAGTAAAGGTCGGTGTTGAGATAGGAGTGTTTTAGAGAAGGACGGCTCCACTTTAGGAACTTTGATAACCCCCTTTAAAGTAGTAGCGGCGAAGTAAGTAGTATCTTCATCGAAAGCTGGAGGGTCACTGTCGTTCCAGGATGCTGACCCGGGTATTAGGTGTGATATTACGAACACTTACCAGGACCATAATGTGTATGTCAGTTTGGAGATTGTGTCGTTAGGTGTGCGTAGCAATTGGTACATAAAAACGGCCAATACGACGGTTCGATTATACTACGACAGCTGATTGGCGTCCAACATCGCACGTGCATTTCCCAGGTACATGGCATGAATGAGACCTTGAGCCTGTCTCCGTACGCCAGCCGACGCCCCACTTATATCTCCCTTGATACATAGTTAGCAAGGTTGGTCCTCGAGAAGGACTCTCGCAGAACTGAACCACCACCAAAAGTAGCCACTTTGGACGCTAGATATCAGCACAATAACAACGTTCAAACATATGTAAAATATTCAAAATATTGTGCTATACAAGTCTAATAGATGTCTAGATTTTTAGAAAGTTAGATCTTACGTGCAAAGGTGCAGCTGCGTGTTAAGTTAAGCAAGTGGTAGAACGCTAAGAAACTAGCCCTTTCGCTTGCCTGAGGTGTCCGGCCATTTGGGTTCCGCGATAGCAGGGTTCAGCGCCTTACAGAATTGCATGTCAAGCTTTGAAGAACGGCTTGATCCCCAAGAGGGGTTCGATAATTTTCTGGAATATCAAGCACTACGGCATGGCTGTGCATGTGTGAATGTTTGGGACCGGTAGCCGCTAAGATGTGCCTCCTGGCTGCGGTGCGATGAAGCCAATGAAACCGATGACGCTTTCTTAGGACTTTTGCAACTTTTTTTCGTTGACATGTTCTCGTCCCAAACTTCTTCTTCAGTAGCTTCATCAGTATGTGCTGCACCGAGCATCAAAGTGTCGCGCCTCATGCAAAGGCGCAGTGGTGTTCGTCAGTCCGTGGCGGTGCTGTACCCGGCCCCCTATATGGAGCGGCCCCCACGCGTGATCTAAACCTAATTGAGCCTAGTATACGAAGAATACGCTCCTGAACCAAGCACCCACTGTGGACCCACAATTAAGAAGGATTCATGTAGCTGCTATATCTTTTTGGGACAAAAAAATGTCATTTGTGGAGCGGGGCTGCAGGCTAGATCGTAGTTTTGACAACTACTATTTCAGTAGTACGTACGGATAGAAACGAATACGCATACGCGTATACGTATACTTGACCGGTCATGTATGCGGTCTCTCATACTTATATATCGAGATGACCTGGTCGAGATTTGAACTTCATACAACTTTTCCGGAAGCTTTTCAGTGTTGCGGTTTCTTTTCTACTCTCATTCCGCTATCGCTTTCGACCTCATCGGCGAAGAACACGTTGAAACTGTTATAATTCGATTTCTTAATTACAGCGTACCTACCCAGATTATAAATAAAATAAAAAATCACCGACGCAATGACCGACAATGGAGGAACGATCGACTTCAAGCTGTATCGCTACAACCCTTCCATGGCTGCGGCTGTCATCTTCGTCATTCTCTTTATTCTTATATCAGGATTACATTTGTACCAAATGGTCCGCACACGGACGTGGATACTCATACCGTTTGTCATCGGCGGCTTCTGTAAGTCATCTTAGCGAGAATTACGTCTCATGGTATTTGTAACCAATAGCTAATGTGTAACAGTCCAATTTGCTGGCTACATAGCAGTAGGTATCTATTAGAGCGCTCCTGATGAAGTGCTAAAATTGTGCCAACAGAGAGCGATGTCCGCTGCCGAATCCCCCAAATGGACAGTCGGCGCATACTCCGCTTCCACCATCCTACTTCTTGTCGCTCCCGCCCTGTATGCCGCAAGCATATATATGATGCTCGGTCGCATAGTCCTTGTTACCGACGGCGAACACCACTCGATCATCCCCAAGCGATGGCTCACAAAGATATTTGTCGTAGGAGATGTCATTTCATTCTTGATGCAGGGTGCTGGTACGTTGTATACGCACTTCGACGAGTGCTGTCACGAAAAAAGAAAACAGGCTAACCACCATGGTCGACAGGCGGCGGCATAATGGCGAGCGGCACAATCAGCGCACTTCATACCGGCGAAAACATCATCATCGGCGGTCTTGTAGTTCAAATTCTCTTCTTCGGCTGCTTCATGGTGACGAGTGTGCTTTGGCACTCTCGAATGGTAAAGAACCCTACAACCCGAAACCTCTCGGGATCTATACCGTGGGAGATGCAGCTTTATTCTCTTTATGCAGCTAGCATGCTCATTCTTGTGCGATCGGTTTTTCGCCTGATTGAGTATGCGCAGGGTAATGACGGTTATCTGATCTCCCATGAAGCATTTCTTTACATCTTTGATTCGACCCTCATGTGGATTACTATGGCAATTCTGGCATGGATACATCCTAGTGAGATCACGGGGTTGCTGAAAGGCGAAAAGGGGGTCGCCGTGCGTCGTGGTGTGGAAGTATACGACCTTTGTTAGAAGTATTGACTGAGAACGGCCGGATCGAGACCAAAATCGGGTTGCATTCCAGAAGAGAATAAGAATATGCCTCAGACTCAGTATTTGACAGACGAAGAACCTTGATGTGGCCGGAATACATAATCTTGTAGAGTAGATGTTGCATATGTATTAGTACGTGAAGCGATACCCAAAAATTTGATATAAGCATGTCCAGACCGCATGTTATGCACTCGAGTCGGTCTCTGCGATGGTTGTTGTGATTTATCAATTTAATTTTGATCTTCCTGAACTAACACTGCAGCAGTGTTGGCCCATTGCATCAGGTCCGCCCAGTCTGGATGCCTGTTGGAGACGGATCGTGAAAGACTCTCGATCAGGCGAACTCCAGTGTTTCTGCCCCACCATCGGTCGCGAGTGTAGAGCAGCAAGGCGCCGTAGTGGATAAAAATCAGTTGTGCCATAGGGTCTTCCTGCTTGAAAAGGTCTAGTAGCGTCGGACCAACTGTTGTTGGCCATCCAATGATTTGACCAAGATAAGTTGAATCTTGGTTCATTTGTCCGAAGATTGCTTCCAAACTTTCGATTCCCGAAAGATAGGACCTGTGTCGCTCAGCTTCGATGGAGCTTTGAATACTATTTGTCCTCTCCCGAAGTCTCGCCAGTGCGGTGGCAACTTCATCGGCAGGCTTAGGAGGAGGAACAGGATTGACAAATCGAGCCCATAATGGCGCGTACTTTTCAAGATGTATCCTGAAATCTTCAGGGCCACGTATGATGAATTGCAAACCTTGAAGAAGCTCAATCAAGATCACAACGCTGTCCTCGCGAGAAGACTGCTCGGATGTTGGACAAATGTTGGGGAAAGCGAGAGCCAGTACGTTCAGAATAACAGAGAAAGCGAACAGGGCGCATCTGTTCTCATCGGTAATGCAGTTCAACGCGTCTCTGAATCCTTTCAACGCAGAGGCGTGGTAATTCATGGCGATCTCGCTGTAAACAAGCTTCGAATCTGGAAATTTCCAGGCGTAATGAAGGGAAGATAGCGCTAAGATGCCGTTAAGAAGGAACTCATGATGAATCGCCTCATCGGGTATAATCTGCTGCCAAACGTGTATATCTTCCTTGCCATGTGACATCGTCTCAGACGTCGACGTGATGTAGTGAGCCATCAAATGTAATTCCTGGGCTCGTGTGACAGTAATGGGCGTACGTGCTACATTCGGTTCTCCAAAAAGGGTTTCACTTCCGCTCATCGAAATACTGCTTCTAGAAGAGACTTCGTCCGCGGTATGCGGAGATTTGTAAACGCATTGCACACGGCGATTGGTGCAGTTATTGCATGAGGGTGACTCTTCTCCACACTGAATATCAAAATAAGTTTATGCAACTTAAAGCGTTTGCAAAGAAACGGAGTGATTTATTTTTCACTCATGAGGTGTAACGGTACCTTGATGTGTCTTTTTTTGCAAGGCAAGCAGCCAAATCGAGATTTTGAATGTGATTTTCGGAGTGGCATTGCGTGCAGCCGTCGTTAGCGAACATGGGATATGAGAAATTAGATATCTCTTGAGCTCAATAGATGTTCGAGATGTAGGCTTGAAGGGAAGTGTTGACTATAAAGAGTCTGACCGCTTGTAGCTCGAGGTGGTAGCTTTGCTTAGGTAATGGGGCTCATGCATCACGTGCACCACTGGTTTTACCATGTACACAAGATGCTCTTCGTCATTTGCTAATACAATGTATCGACTCCTACGACAATATAATGCCAACACCATCTGCAATCATTATTTTGACTTTTTTTGTAGAATTCCGTGGTCTTTTTCGAGAATTCAAAAAACACTATCTGATCGGCTGATACAGATTGGATACTCATATGTGTTCTTGAGAAGGCTTAGAGTGCTATACCTACTAATTCGCATAAGCCAACATCTAAACTGTAGGGTTTTAGGTAGAAGTTGCCTGCGGATAGGTTCAAGGGCTAAACCGATAACAATCTAACACCTGTTGGTTGTTATTAACTCCCATAAAAAGCTGGCATCTTCTGCTGACTTGAACGACCGAAGAGTGCCATAGTTGGTTCGATAGGAAATTGGCATGGAAGGCGAACGCGACGCGGCAGGTTGATGGGAACTATGGACAAGTGATACATAAAGCATGCAGTGAGTCGAAATCATGGGCATCAATCTGACGTAAGCAGATTGTGACAGACTTACCATCCAAAGAAGGCTGAAGGCATATGAATTGCGTTTCACAGTTGCAGAAAAAGCTTGATTTCGAACATGCTAAGCTCCCAAAGACCCTGAAATTTGCCGGATCGCTGGTGATCTGCAAAGAAAGTGATCCTCATCATGAATACTGCATATACAGTAGTGTCATCAACATCTACGACCGAGATCGCCTATGCTCTCATGTCTGATTTCTAGTCAAATTTCTTTATTTAGTTATCATCTTCCAGATGTTCGCTGCAGACAAAGGCTTCTGCTATTAACCAATGTTCCTCCCTACAAAATCGAGCAGTGGAGTTGATTGGGCCAACTTACGTATGCTTGTATTTTGCCGCCATCGCGGCGCAAGATAGACTTGTTCTGGACCGCCTGATTTGTGGAGGCATATTTTGCTAGATGTCTTAAGGCGATCAGAGAACGTATTCGGGAACCAAGCAGTTCCAATATCTCTTAATAATGTTGTGCACGTGATGCATGTTTTACCCCGAACCAGCAACAGGGGTCTTGGATAAATTTCTGGGTGTCATCACAATACCGGCCCTGCTCCCCTGATTGGCTTACAAGTCTGGTGCGGAGTGCAACACATTAAGTGTCCGTAGTATAAAGTTAAGTCAGTTGACATCCTCTGAGTTAAATGCCTCGCAACTTCTGGCGATACCAAACACTGCCTGTTGCCTCCATTTTACTTGACATTACATCTCCGCGATTCGTCAGTTTCGTCCCAATGCATCTTCTCCAAGTCACGATTGCGGCCATTAGCTTTAGTGCCGTCGTACTATCGGCCCCTGCCAATATGCTTAGGGATACCACCATTGTTGAAAGGCAAGATCCAGGCTTTTGCGGTCCCAGCAATAACGGAGCGACAGCATGCTCTGGTAAAATTCGCTACAAATGTAATGGAGCGGGGTTATGGCTGAACAATGGAAGGTGCAGTTGATGTTAACGCAGTAAGTATGCACCAGAGATGTCCCGGTTGAGTATAGTGTTGATACATAAAGCTGTAAGCGAAGACCTCCAAGTGTATGTACAGGTTGGAACGATAGTTCTTGGAGTGGGGTATCGAGGGATAGTCCAAGGTAGCTTTGATCTAGATTACAGATGACAATATCGGCACTTCGTTACTAGAGATATAAATTACTCTAAATGAATTAGTTTCAAGTTAGTTTGCCGCTTCCAGAAGTCGTTCTTCTCGCGCTGTGATGATGAACTCAAAACTCTTCTCTACTCCGGGTGGCTAAGGGCACCTTGTTGGCTCAAGACTATGCATGGTTTGAACAAACGGTCTTTTCGAATATAAGACTAATTTCGATAATGAGATTAGATAGGACACTGTTCTGTTGATGCGGGTCGTAAGACAAAAAGAGATTAAAGGCATTACATAATCCGCACGCACGGACTGCATACTCTCCCAAATGACGTAGAAGCTTCGAGAATCAGCGTCAAGGTTCACGCATCTTCCTGACAAACATGGATGGATAAGCAACCTCGCGAACTATCTACAACATTCTGGTATAGTCGCTTGAATGGAAATCCTGAGATCTTACTCACATCCGTATTGCGTTATGATGTCTATAAAAGTGTGGAGTGCGGCTCCTCTACAGCTCATCATCAATTCAAAAGACCAGCATCTCTAGATCTAGCATCTACAATCACCATAGCATCCAATCATCAGCCTTTCCACTACCATATCTGAACCAACAAATTTATCTTTTAAGTCAATCCTACCAGAAATGGCGTTCGTACTTACACCAACCTTTGCGCCGGCCTACCAGACGCATCAGTACAGCCCTCTCGGCTTCTGCAGTCCAGCAGCACGATCACCATATGCCTGCCGAGTTGCCCGTCCCCAACCTCGCCGCCCACAATACTCGCCATACGGCAATTTCTTCAGTCAAGTCAATGACCTATTGAGCGAGATTGACCGCGAAGCACAACGCCAGGCACAGCTCGAGGCTCATCGCGAGGCACAACGTGAGGCCCACCGCCAAAGGCAACTCCAACGAAAGCGCGCACTTCGCGCCAAGTTCGATGTCAAGCCCATTGAGCAAGGCTGGTCGGTAGAGGGAGACATCCAGGGCTTTGGTCCAGAAAACATCTCCATCGAAGTTACCGACGAACACACCCTGAAGATCGCCGGAAACACCCACTGGCAACTGGAAAAGGCACAGTCCAAGCCAGCACTACCTCAGATCGAAGACAAGGCTGAACCCGCATCTGCGCCTGCCATTGAGCAACCCGCCGAACAGACTTCTGAGGTGTCACATGCCGAGGAGGTCGACACCACCTCGGAAGCTGAGAGCACAACAGCTGGCGTCGCAACACCAGATAGTGACACCCAATCCCACAAGTCCTACCAAGCTACCGTCGAAGACGACTTTGAAGACCTCGGCGATGAATTCTCATCTTTGTCCCGTCCCTCAACTCCTGTCGAACCAAAGGAGCCAAAGGGCAAAGAGAAGGCCGTCGAAGAGCCTACTTCTACTGAAACCGCAGTAGTCACTCAACCACAACCCGAGGCACCAGTTCTTGCGCCACAATCTCAACCCGAACAACAACTCGAACAAGAAGAGCGCATCCACGGATCTTTCACTCGCTCTTTCAGATTCCCCACTCGCATCGATGTGGCGAAGGTGAGCGCAAGTTTCAAGGACGGAGTGTTGAGAGTACAGGTGCCTAGGGTGCAAGCACCAACTGTTAGGAGAATTGCTATTCTATAGCGATATGGCTAGTATGAAGATTTCATCAGTATTTGCATCTGAATATTGGAGCATATGCATGGAGCTGAGATTTAAAGGTTATGCAATGATTCGAGATTTAATGCTGGGTTTATTATATAGTTAGCAGTCGAATGAACTAAATCATATTCTGCTTTATGTAACTTTGTTAATTGCCTGTTTCGCAAAAGTGTTTCATTCTGTTTTTTCTGACTCGAAGTTACATCATCGAAGTGAGTATGAGTTTCACACTTGATACATGTATTAGTGACGCCAAACTTAACATAGAAGGAAGAACGTTAATTTTCTCATTTAAGCGCTACCGTTGGAGTTAGCATGGTCCGTGGCTGAGATGATCCATCCTCAGTTAGAGAAACAACCCCGTACACTCACAGTGCTTGGATTTTCTTCAGTTCCAATCCCCTAAGCGCGTAGTGACGTCCTGCATCCATCTTGTACATCGTTTGGAAAGGATCAGAAGATAACTACGATGGAAAAGGGGTATCAAGTCTGCTCCTCGTTCATAGAACTCAGTCAGTTAACTAACCCATACCCCCATTTAAGTTTTAGCAAAAATTAACATTTAAACTATATTTTTTATCTGTCCCGTCCCAGTCAAACAACGGTCTTCTGGGGCCGGCTATCACAAATCAGACCACTTTACACCACAGCCGAAATCTTAAACCCACCGGGCACCAGTTTCTGGAATACACCCTTTGGATCGTACTTTCTTGCTGCATCTTTCATCTTCTTCACGTTCTTTGGTCCGTAGCTGGATAGCGGATCTTGCGTTTTGTCTGCGTAGTTGAGATACAAGTAAGGATTATCTGCGCCAATACTTTGAGCGTAGGCGCGGATTCGCGAGATGAGATTTGCACCGGCGGCTTGAAAGAGGGCGTCTTGGTGGGATCCTTGCCAGGAGATGTAGGGTTGATATACTATAATGTCTTCATTAGTATTCTGCGAATGGACCTGATTGGGTATATTTTATGTAGATAGAATCGGGGATTGGAGGGAAAGATGCGGAGAAGGTGAAGGGGGAGGGAAGAACTTACGACACAAGACTTGCTCGCCAAATCGTTCAAGGCCCAGCACGTTCCCGCCTTTAGCAGCGCTCTGGCGCCAGTACGCGGGCGGCAGGGGCTGGTATAGAACGTAGATGCCCCAATCACCGGTTGCTTTTGCCTTTAATTTGGATAGTTCGTCCTTGTAGATTTCGTGCGCGGCAGTCATGACTCGGAGGTCGTTGGCAAAGGTAAGTGTGCCGAAGTATACGCTTTGGGATTGGTAGGGTTATCAGCGGGATTATCCTTGTTTATGCATGGGTGTTCGGGAGAGTTTCTAATTTGCAAGACTAACTTACCTGTGGGTGGTGGCTCCTGCGAGCTCTGCGGCTAGCGATGACATGTTGCGGAAGCCTGTCGTGTCCGATGTGTTGCCTGGGATCGCAAGGAACTCCTTGTAGGCGGCGGGCCTGGGCACCGGGTCGGCGTAATCGTATGCGTTCAGTATCAGGTCCAAACCCACGGAGCTCTGGTACACCGGCATAACAATGGCGGCACCTTTGTTGTCCTTGTCGATGTTGTTGGAGAAGTTAATGAGCGCTTTGAAGTGGTCTTGGATGGTTGACTCAGGATAGATGACTAGGCCTCCCCACATGCCTTGGTTCTTGAAGGTGCCGAATGTGATGCTGGTGACGATCCCGAAGTTGTTGTTGCCGCCTTTTAGCACTGTGAATAGGTCTGGGCGCGTTGTCTTGGATGCAGTTACAATGCTGCCGTCGGCTAAAACGACCTGGAACTCGACTGCATTGTCGCAGACCAGACCACGCCCCGGGGAGAAGTAGGATATGCCACCTCCAAGAGTGAGTCCGCCAACACCAACAGTTGATGATCGGCCACCGGGAAGCATAAGCCCCATCGGTTCCAGGACGCCGTACACATCGTTCCACGTTGCCGCAGGCCCCACCTTGACTGTAGTGCTTCTATCATCATACCTGACGGTGTTAAGGTACTTGAGATCGATAGTGACTCCATCCTGGATATTCGAAGCCCCGACATATGGTGTATGTCCTGCGCTACGAATAGCAAAGCTGCAAGGCTTGCGCGAGCTTGCAGCTGTCAATGCTTTGACTGCAACTGCAACTTCATCTGCACTCTTGGGCTGCACTATGCAGTTGGGTGTGATGGTCTGCTGCTTGACGTCAAAGTATGTCTTCTCGCGTGTCACGTATGCGTCTTGATTGGGATATAACAGGCGATCCTTCAAGGACGTTGCCGCAAGTACATTGCACTGGAAGATCTGTGGTTAGTCTGGTACGTTCTCTGGTGCGTTTTAGTTGGAGAATCGACTTACGCAATACTCCGCCTGGGCCAAAGGAATGACAGCCGCAGCCGCTAGAAGAGCAACAGTTAAACGAGCCATCATAGCAGTCGACGCGAAGAAAGGCAGTGAACAGAGCCGTGCTCGTGTTGGAGCGCAACTACCATCTCATATTAATAGTTCAGCGAATGTACTCTCCCATAACTTCTCCACTGTAGATTATTCAGTGCCGCTCCTATTAGCTATCCGCCATAAACGTTCACCGACCTCCAAAGGATCCCCCAAGAATGTTCAAAGAGGACTAGAGTCCGTAGGTGGCTTTCGGTCCCTGTAGCGCAGAAGAAGCTAATGTCGGTGGCAATACGGTATGTGCTTTTGCCTGGTTGCCAATAGTAGGTTGCAGGGACTAAAAACGCATAAAGGTCGCACCATACATTCGTCGAGGTTTAGTTAGCGATGCAGCTAGTGACCTATTAGCTAGGGGTGCTGCGCCAGATGGCATGATGCGTATACATAAATTAACACAGGGATGCTTGTCAAGAAATGGCGTGTTGACCGGAGCTGAGACGGGATTCACCAGCTTGATGGGTTGCATCGTGCTGGAACAATAGTAGTCCGCGCTACATGTCTGGCATGTTGACTCCTTGCATGATGTTCTTGCAATGTGATTGGGAGTTCGGGTTACGGTTGTCGATGAAGCCGTCCTATCCATGCCACTCTGTGGCACAGTCGTGTTGGTATTTAACCACGCCGTGCCATCGACCAATCAAACCGCATCTGTCGGCGCTTTTCGCCCATGCGGCTATTGGCCAATCTCTTCCCGATTTGGTAGTTGCAGCGATCACCCGAGACTCTTAAACCGACCTGCAATATGCCAGGAATATTCCTTCCCTCGGGGAAATGATAATGCAGAAGGGGCCGCCCGGGTTTCATTCTATAGAGCAGAAAGTAGTCGCGGAGCAGAATATGAACATCTTGCTGGTTGAGAACTCCTCTACATCTTCGAGGCTCTTTTCGTATACACGATGGATATGAACAAGCCTTTATTTCCAGCTCCGCCTGGCTATGTTGTCGATCTTTCCAATCCCCAGAGGACAGGTGAGGCTGCGAATCTATGGGTGGGAGCAGTTGGAATGATTCTTTCTACCTTATTCATGGCTGTTCGTATCTATACAAAGACAAGATTTGCAAAATGCTTGTCTGCAGATGATGGTGAGTTATTTTGTGACCTATTCGAGCTGTCTGTAGGTGGTGTAATAGTGGTCGAAAGTGACTAACAGATTGTGCAGTGGCTTTGATTGTGGCTTGGGTAAGTCTGTCTATGGATTATGATCGCCAAAGCGCCTAAATCATGTGTTAATCAACGCATTGACAGATCCTCTCAGTCACAATCCAAATGATTATACTCGGTATGTTTTCAAGATTATGTTGACGTTTGAGTGGGCTAACAGTCATCTAGTTCAATATAGGGGAGGAACACTGGGTGTTCACATTTGGGAACTGAGCGGGAACCGCGTCAATTTTAGTCTGAATGTGAGTGTTTGCAAGCCAGCAAAATACCTCCTTTAAGCTGAACTTCATGTAGCTGGTCAACGTTGCTAGCATCCTCTACTGCCCCTTTCTGGCGAGCGCAAAGCTGTCTCTTCTGTTGCTATACCTTCGATTATCGCCCCTGCGCTGGTTTCGAATCTGTGTGTATGGCGGAATTTTCATAGTCGTCGGATACAGCATTGCCCTCCTCTTTCCGCTTATCTTCGCCTGTACACCCTTTAAGAGAAATTGGGACATTACGATCACAGAGGGGAGTTGTATCAATCGCACACCACTCTACATGGCAACTGCTGTGTTGAACATGGTGACAGACATTTTACTGCTCATCTTACCCATACCTATGGTTGTTAAGCTACAGGTTCCAAGGGCGCAGAAAGCGGGCTTGTTGTGCATTTTCGGAGTCGGATCGCTGTAAGTGATTTTAGCACTTACTCAAGGAGATGACAGACTGACACGGAACAGGACTTGTATCACCAGCGGAGTGCGTCTCGCCCTCTTGTTCCCATTGCTCAGCACCATTGACCAGACATGGGCCATTGTCATGCCCGGAATATGGATGTGAGTAGGCTCTGAACTTGACCTTGTGTTTTGGAATCCAAGCTGACAATTGAGACTAGTCTCATAGAAGCCAACCTCATCATCATAACTGGCTGTCTACCGGCAATGCGTCTGTTTTTACGCCATGTCGCACCACGTGTGATTGGAGAATCGTCATTCAACAGCCGTAAGCAAACTCGAGGATATACAACCGACTCACACGGTGCCCATTCAGAGCTTCAAACGATAGGCTCAAAACATATGAATAGGGCGTACAATCAGATGGAAGATGATAGTGTCAGTGTTGGCAGTGATGAAAGAGCGGCTGCAGGATGGCAGGGTGATGGATCGTCTGAGCGCAGTATCGTTGTTTCGCCTGCAGGTATCACGAAAACCCAGAGTTTCGCAGTCAACAGCGAGATCTGTAACGATGGTGGCAGCAAGCAGGGGCGTACTAGTGCTTGTGGTATACACGCGCTCTAAACTTATTGCTAATTCTAGGTGTACAAAACATAGACCGTTATAATGGCAAAGTGTTGATCACGCCAAAAAGTCCACCTTTGGTGCAGGTGAGATGAAGGGTAGATTGTTGATTTGAATTGTCTTCGAGACAAGCTCGGATTCGCGCAAGTTTCCCAATGTATATGTGTAGTTGAGGGATCAAAAGGCCGAGAGGTGACAGCAAATGCGAGCGACCTATTTCATCTAGTAGGTGAATTTCATGCCACCGTTGGCGCATATGACGCTGCCTGTTGTCCATCCAGCATCAGGCAAGCAAAGCATGCCAATAACACCAGCGACCTCCTCACTGTAGCCCGGTCTGCCTCCAGCACCTTGGGAAGCTTCATAGATTCGTTCTGGGTCGATACCCTTTCGTGGTGCCGCCAACGGGGTGGTTTCGATGAAGGGCTTGTTCAATGCGATGAAAGATTCATCGTTACTCCAGTACATGTCTGTGGCGACTGGGCCAGGATTAACGGCGTTGACGGTGCATCGCTCGGACAATTCACGAGCCCAAGTTCGCGTCATGCTTTCTAGGGCTGCTTTTGTTCCACCATAGATTGACTGGCCCTTGTATCCTAGCGAAGAACTGACAGACGACAAGTTGACGATGCGGCCTGATCGGTCATTTGGCAGGTAGGGGACGGCGGCTTGCACAAGGAGCAGTGGGCCTCGCACGTTGACGTTGAACTGTCTGGCAAAGTCTTCGCAGTCGACGTTTTCGACGTAGTTGTTGCCGGCGACGCCAGCATTGTTGATGATGATGTCGAGCTGGAACTTGCCCGTCTTGGGGTGTTGGAAGTTGTTCTTGGTGACTTCTACGAGGTGCTTCGGGCCGTTTTCTGAGCCCATGCTCGCCTGTATGGTGATGGCCTTGACACCATACTCGGACTGCAGCTCGGAAGCAAGGTCTTGAGCAACTTGGGCAGACGAGTCGGAGGTATAGTTTATGACGACATTGCAGCCCTTGGAAGCGAGGTTGCGGGCGACTTCGACGCCAATTCCTAGGGGGACTAAGAAATGAAAGAGCTCAAGGAGGAGCAGTACGTACCTCTTGATGCTCCTGTTACGATAGCGTTTCTTCCTTCGAGGATGCGCTGGCCGGAAGTGCCAAGGTTAGTGGAGGCAGTTCGCGTGTGTGCTGGTCTCTCGGCCATGTTGCTGATTGCAGAAGTGCTGGGCCTAGTAGGCTGCGTGGTTGTGCGTCGCAATGGTCGCGTTGGTGTGATGCGGACTATTTATGGCGGGGTTTTATAGGTGATGCGGGGTCGTGGAGACGGCTCAATAGACCAAGTGCTCGGTGGTTCCGCCGCATCATTGTCCAGCTTCTGCTCGGCCACTGTCCGACCATCACGAGAAAGACCGGAGGGCATTAAGTAGTGTAGGGTATATGTAGAGCTTGTCGCGGTGTTGTTCCGCGTGGTCCCGGGGAAAAAAAGTCGACCTGTGTGGTTGGGGATGATCGCCAGGGTCTGAGCTACTAGAGGCCCAGGAGGGCTGCTGGGGCGAGGGGCAGCAGGCAATGGCGTGCGAGCTGATTCATGCCAGCGAATTGATGACAGCAGGAGATGTGCGATCCCACAGCACATAGCCAGAGACTGCCTACTATCTGGACTAAGCATGCACAACCAAAGCAGCACGCATTATTTTTTCTGCCACTCCAAGCGACTATCAAAGTGCCCGAGTAGCACCGAACTGAGTTGATTCAGTATGGCGTGCAACAGCATCGACGACGCTAACACTCGGAGTTTTGCATGTATAGTACCGATGTCGGATGGAGCATCGTGCTGTGGGGGCCATGATTCGCTGTAGAGGGCCAAAAAAGATGCGCTTGACCGCGAGTTGCAGCAGCGGTGTTGTTGCATAGTCCGGCCAAGGGCGCGGTGTTGGTTGAGGCCCAGATAGTGTATGGCGATGCACTCATCCCCGAAGGCGGTGAGGGGCATCGGCGCGCCATGAGCGGTAACCCCGCGGTGCCAGCATACGCCAGCAAAAACCATAAAGCACACCATCTGCTGCTCTTTCTTCTCCTGTCATCCTTTCCTCCCTCCCCTCTTCATCCCCTCCATCCTCTCAATTCACTTCACCCCCCTTCTTCCTTTCCATCGTCCCTTTTCCTCCCACATCATCGTCCATCCCGGACACGCACATCACAATGGTAAACTCATCAGTACTTGGTTTCCCCCGCATGGGTGCGGACCGTGAACTTAAGAAGGCCAACGAGGCTTACTGGGCTGACAAGCTCTCCCGCGATGACCTGCTCAAGGAGGGCAAGCGCCTGAGGTTGGAGCACTGGAAGATCCAGAAGGACGCTGGCGTCGAGATCATCCCCAGCAACGACTTTGCTTTCTACGACCACCTTCTCGACCACATCCAGCTCTTCAACGTAAGTCTCTCTTGCCCCGCACCTGACTGTTGCTTTTTTCGCTAACAACCCCAGGTTATCCCAGAACGTTACTCCAAGCACGGATTGCACAAGCTTGATGAGTACTTCGCCATGGGCCGTGGCCACCAGAAGGATGGCGTCGATGTTCCCACTCTGGTAGGTGAACCACCTCTTAGTCAAGAAGCTTTTGCTAACATGCTTGCAGGAAATGGTCAAGTGGTTCGACTCCAACTACCACTATGTCAAGCCTACCCTCCAGGACAACCAGACTTTCAAGCTTGCTGAGAACCCCAAGCCTGTGGTTGAGTTCCTCGAGGCCAAGGAGGCTGGCATCATCACTCGCCCCGTCCTCATCGGTCCCGTCTCCTTCCTCGCCCTCGGCAAGGCCGACCGTGGCCAGTCTGTCGACCCCATCTCCCTCCTCGAGAAGCTGCTGCCCGTATACGTTGAGCTCCTCAAGAAGCTGAAGGAGGCTGGTGCCGAGTACGTCCAGATCGACGAGCCTGTCCTCGTCTACGATCTGCCTCAGAAGGTCAAGGATGCTTTCAAGCCTGCCTATGAGAAGCTTGTTGGCGCCGACCTGCCCAAGGCTGTCATTGCCACCTACTTTGGTGACGTTGTCCACAACTTCGACGTCTTCCCCAGCCTCCAGGGAGCTGCTGCCATCCACGTCGACCTTGTCAGGAACCCTGAGCAGCTCGAGAGCGTCATCAGCAAGCTTGGCCCCAACCAGGTTCTCTCTGCCGGTGTCGTTGACGGCCGCAACATCTGGAAGACCAACTTCAAGAACGCCATTGAGCTTGTCGAGACTGCTGTCCAGAAGCTTGGCAAGGACCGTGTCATTGTCGCCACCTCCAGCTCGCTTCTCCACACTCCCCACTCTCTCGACAGCGAGAAGAAGCTGCCTGAGGAGGTCAAGGACTGGTTCTCCTTTGCCGTCCAAAAGGTGTCCGAGGTTGTCGTCATTGCCAAGGCTGTCAACGACGGCCCCGCTTCTGTTCGTGAGGCTCTTGAGGCCAACGCCAAGTCGATGCAGTCTCGCGCCTCATCTGAGCGCACCAACAACAAGGCTGTCAAGGACCGCCAGGCTAGCGTCACCCCCGAGCAGCACGAGCGCAAGTCTGCCTTCCCTGAGCGATATGCCCAGCAGAAGACCCACCTCAAGCTCCCTCTTTTCCCTACGACCACCATCGGCTCCTTCCCCCAGACCAAGGAGATCCGTATCCAGCGTAACAAGTTTACCAAGGGTGAGATCACCGCTGCCGAGTACGAGAAGTTCATTGAGAAGGAGATTGAGGAGACTATCAAGATCCAGGATGAGCTCGACCTTGATGTCTACGTCCACGGTGAGCCCGAGCGCAACGACATGGTGCAGTACTTTGGTGAGCGCCTCGACGGTTATGTCTTCACCACCAAGGGCTGGGTCCAGTCTTACGGATCCCGCTGCGTCCGACCTCCGATCATCGTTGGTGACATCTCTCGCCCTGCTCCCATGACTGTCAAGGAGTCCAAGTACGCCGCCTCGGTGTCCAAGAAGCCCATGAAGGGCATGCTTACTGGACCTATTACCTGCCTGCGATGGTCCTTCCCCCGTGACGATGTCCATCAGTCTGTGCAAGCTCAACAGCTTGCTCTCGCTCTCCGCGACGAGGTTCTCGACCTCGAGGCTGCTGGCATCTACGTCATCCAAGTCGACGAGCCCGCCCTCCGTGAAGGACTTCCTCTCCGTGCTGGCACTGAGCGCGAGAAGTACCTCTCATGGGCCGTCGACTCTTTCAAGCTTGCCTGTGCTGCTGTCCAGGACTCTACCCAGATCCACTCGCACTTCTGCTACTCCGAGTTCCAAGACTTCTTCCACGCCATTGCTGCGCTCGACGCTGATGTTCTGTCTATTGAGAACAGCAAGAGCGACGCCAAGCTCCTCAAGGTGTTTGAGGACAAGGCGTACCCACGCCACATTGGCCCCGGTGTGTACGACATCCACACGCCTCGTGTGCCCTCTGAGCAGGAGATCAAGGACCGCCTGTCTGAGATGCTCACATACCTCAAGCCCGAGCAGCTGTGGGTCAACCCCGACTGCGGTCTCAAGACCCGGCAGTGGAAGGAGACCAAGGCCGCGCTGATCAACATGGTTAACGCTGCCAAGTTCTACCGCGAGAAGCACGCGGCTTAAATTTCTTCTGCCATTTGGCAATCCCTTTGCGGCCGTGTTTCATCAACGCGGCCGCGTCGAGTAGCATATCAACTTGCTCTCGTGTAATGTGTGTGTAATGAGTTTTATGATACCCAAAAGTTCAACCTGCATCATGGGTCGTTGAGCGGTGCAAAAGAAAAGCAGATTGTGTGTATGGACAGGACGGACATGGACGTCCAGCACAACTAGCTCTGGCGTTTATTTTATTGGGAATGTTTGCGACACGGGTCGCAGGGTCGATTGACCTGGACAGATAGATGTGTGTATGTAGTATAGCCAGTGAAGAATGAGACGATACATGTCTCCTGGCACAAGCCGAATATGAAAAATATACAGGCGGATGCATCAATCATTGTCACGTCTTCTCTATGTGTTGGTGCCTGATGGTGATTTACTTTTTGCTGCGTGGCTTGAGCAAGAGGGATGAATGAATGGTGAGGCCAAGGAGCTGTTGTTGCTATTACCTAGACAGCAGGAGTGTACTATAGCATTTCGGCAGCCGAGTGGACAAACGCCTGGCGGTGGCGGAATGGGCGCGTCTAAGAGCTGGGATGTCCTTGGATGGACGAGGACCGCTGATGCTATGGTATTTCAGAGTATGCCAAGATCCTGTCTACGTGACCTGCATAGATGGAGCAAAAATAAAAGTTGCAAAAACAAAAACATACGACAGCGGGGATTCGCTAGTGGTCACCCACCTAACTACTAATCCGCCGGTAAACTGCTTGTATAGGGCAGATCGGACGGGATGCCTAATTCTCAGTTTCCTCTGGTCGTATGTACCATAGTAGTAAAAACAAGCATTACATATTCGTAATAGATTGGGTTACGCGGACTTTGGATTTTCAATCTCGAAGAGGGATCACGTGGTGTTATCGATAGAGCAGCTTGGCATTTTCACGGATGGAACATAGCTACTTTTTGCACTGGCTGGAGAGGCTTCAATGAAAAACAAAACAAATAATATTTAAGTTTTGTTTCACTCGTAGCCACAGACACTTAAGAGCAAGGGCATAGAGGTTGTTTTTCGCAGTCATATATGAGAGAAATGGGCGCAAGCTATGACCGGGGTTCGGCCAGCCTCCTCAATGGTTGGCGCGTACCTCCAACATCCATGACATGTCCAGATACCCATGGCCCATAGCACACCCGCGCAGTTTCTGTGGCCAGTCTGGGTCTCGGCAACTTGTTACTGTCGCCAGTCGTGTCCTTGAAGAGGGTCTCCCGTGCGGCTTGTTCCGTCCTCACATGCATGTATGTAAGCCAGCACGACGGTTGCCCTGCGCAACCAGCCCCGACCATGTTTACCAACCTAACCCAAGCCGCCCAGCCACCGTCGCCCTCAGGATGCCGCGCACTGATGATTGGGCAGATAAACGGCCGCTGTCACGGAAGATGACGCGCTTTGGCTACTTGGTCCACTGTCAGCGCACGGCGGGCGCAGGCGGGCGGGCCAGGAGGGCTGGGCCTATGTTGATAGACCCTCGCGGAAGCCAGCCACCTCGATGGCCCCGTGCATGAACTGCTGCTCCTCTGAACCCACCCTCGATTTCCAGCCGCCATCGTCGCTATCCACTGTGCCCTGCTCTCGTACCGGTAGCCACAGTCTGCTTCATGGGACGTTCGTCTCGCCTCTCGAGGTGAATGTACTATGGTTCGCAAGACACGGGTACGCTGCGTGCTCGTGCTGCTCCACGAGGCCCTGCTTCTCGCTCCTGCCGCTGCTGCTGCCACTACC